TTCTCTCTCTCTCTCTCTCTCTCTCTCTCTCTTTCTCTCTCTCCAGTCATCATTATCCTGAGTTCGTCTCATAAGCTGTCTCTGGGAACATCTGTTCAAATTTTTCCAGTACATGTATCTCTACATCACAGTATGAGATCATGTTCTTTGGCCTTCCTATTCTACTATTCCCTTGTTGGTTCCAGGTTAAGATTTGTCCGTGGGTGGTTGGCGGGTGCTCTGGTGTGGTTTGCTCCTTCTTTCCTGTCAAACATCTATCGTCCTGATCTGTCTTCCTTTTTTTGTGTTTGTTACTTTCTTGTAACACCACTAGTCTTTGGCACTTATATGACCTCATTGTATTGCAAGTGCTGTAAAACTCTTACTAAAACTAAAAACAAAATGTAGAGAAGAAATGTGATTTTACAGAACAGTGTTTCGCGTCAAATGGACAGATCAAAGATTGAAAGCGTCGTTAAAAAAGGTATATAGTGTAGTATGCTTTCTGGGATCAACAAAAGGAGACTCAAGTACCTTGGTTGAAATAATCATAAAAACAGACCCGATGACGACTATGATGGAAAGCAGAATTGAGGCAAAGAGAATTAATACAGTAGGACTTGACTATAGCGGGACTTATAGTTCCAGAAGAAAATCCCGTTGCTATAGGAATCGAAAGGAGAATTGCCTAAAAATCACACACAACACGCTTACCTCTTCTTTCACTGTCTTTTTGGCCTATACTAGGGCTACGGTCAGTATGGTCGGTAATAAGGTCGTTCCGGCTATGGCACATCACTTTTGGAGTGGCTCACATGACACGTCTCTCCGCACCATCTCTCTCTGCCGTCTGCCCCACCTCACTCATCACTGGACCGGACAAGCACAACGCCCCACCACTGACTGCTTGTTTGGAGCCCACCAACCCCCCCCCCCCCCCCCCCCCGACCCCAACTGGCACTCGCTCGATCTCTCCCGCTGCATCCAAGTTCGGGTCTTTCCTTTTCCCGTTACACCCAAGCATAGTTACATGTAATTGAGTTTATACAGACCCAAAAAGGGGATTACGGTAAGATTCTGCAGTAGGGATTACCCAGCTGCCACGGGTGCCGCTATATATATATATATATAGTTTGTATATATATATAATCTAGATCTAGTCATGTTCTGCCGTAATAGTAATAATACATGTACATGTTCCTCTCCTTACGACACCTGCCAAATTTGACTTTTTTTGAAAAGGGGAAAGCAGTCCTCCTACTTTGTGGAACACAGATTTATTATTGTGGTTGCGTCCCTTGAAAGAAATCTCATCTTGTAATGTATTATTAAAAATTATTACAATAATTACATCGACCTTCATGTTCCCTCTTGTACGGAAGTGTCGGAGTCGTAACTCAAGTTTGAAGGCAAGATAATATATGACTTATCAATTATGTTGTATCTAGCTGTGAGACTTCTGATTACTTACACAGCAGGGGTTACCGACAGAGACCAAACAGACGCTTGGGAGGAGGTGGGCTCTACACTCTACATTAAGAAAGCGAAGCTGTTAGGACTGGCATAAACTACATCGTAGTTTCAAATGCGGAGGGGTGGGGATAACCCCTGGAAGCAGCATTCCCACGAAAAACCCCCAACAAATTTTTAAAAAGTTTGCAAAATCGGGACAAAGTTGCAGATTTTAAAAATGTGGGCTGAACTGAAACGCAAGGGGCAGATGGCGGTTTGCCATTATGAAGTGCAACCTTTAAAAATTAAAAAAAGGAGTTCCAGTCAATAGTAAGTATCTTTGTGTGTGAGGGGGGGGGGGGGATTTGAGAGTTGAGAAGGGCTTTTGGATTTACTTCGGTAATTATACAATGTACATGACATATGTACAATTATGTCATATTGATATATAACAAAATAATGACACACCAATATATCATACCGTCCTATTTTAAATAAAGGCCGTGTGTTGAAACAAGCAGCTTCAAGTTCAAGGAACAAAATCGATAAACCAATGTTGAGATAAATTATCAAATAAACAAACACGGTCATCAAAAACATGACTAAATAAAATAAAAGATCAAAACTTTTGAAAGAGATAGGTCAACAATAAATAGTTAGATCTAGATGATAAATTTAATAAGATAAACATTTTCCGGTGAAAGCCAGATGTGAGCGGGAGAGAGCAGGTGTAGGTTTGTTCGAGCCACGACCATCCTACTAGAGCTACACTGTGCCTCTGCCAGTGGCCGTGTAGGCCTTCAATAAAGTGTCTTCACACGAGAGATTAGATTTTAATGTCTCTCGCTGGGAAATATGTCTTTTGACGTCTGCCTCTCCGCGCATGAAAGCAAGTTTTACGTTTGTGTGTATGTGTGCGTGTGTGTGTGTGTGTGTGTGTGTGT